CACTGACGCAGCCCCCCTGCCTTCTTCCCCCGCAGATGGGGGGGTAGTGGCCACCCCCAGGCTGGGCCCCTCCAGGAGTCACAGACGAGGCCCCCGCCAAAACCGGTGAGTGGCACCCGGCCCGAGTGCACGAGGGACCCTCTGAGGTATCTGGGGCTTGGGGAGCAGTCGTGTGACTCTGGTCTTGAGACCGGAGCCGAGAGGCATGTCGGGGAAGCTTCCGGTAGCCCCAGGCCTGCTGGGAAACTGCAGCCCTCTCCCCCAGGAGGTGATGGAGCCCCGGGCGGGGAGAGGGCTCGCCCCTTTGAGCCAGGGCCCCTCCCTGAGGAGCTGGGAGGCCCCGTCCAGCCCCTCCCCTTCTGCTCCTGCCCCCAGGTCAGATGCTTCTGAGCAGGGGCCCCTGGGATGGCAGCCGCCCAGCAAGATGGGCTGGAAGACCGCGTCGTGAGCTGTCTCCAAGGACGGTCTCCACCCCTGTACGTTTCCCCAATAAAGTCTTTTAAAAGCCCATTGGCCACCGCGCTCCATGTCCAGAAGCCTTGGCCGGGGGTCCTCAGACTGGGTGCATTGGCTCCCAGAGAGCTGATGGCCCAGCCCGCCCCCTGCTGTGGGGGGTGGGAACGTGCATCCTTGTGATGAGGCGGGGGCGGGGGGCCCGCTGAGAGCACCATCACCTGAGCGAAGATGGACGGGCCGCACGTGGAGCCACTTATGCCTTCAGTGGCAGGTCGGTCCCCTGACTGCAGGCCCTGCTGTGCCTAGTGGTCCCCTCTTCGAGGCCAGTCGCATGCCTGGGTCCTGCTCCCCGCTGCCGCTGGGGTTCTCTCTCCATCCCTTTGGGTTCGACAGGTCGTGCTTGGCCAGCAGCAAACACAAGCTGGGGCCGGGGACCTGCCCCCTGTGACTGTGTTCCCAGCACCCCCTTTACTGCTGCAGGCCCTGCCCCAAGGTCAACTTCAGCTCGCAGTTTCTCACTCACCAAATCCAGCTCTTATCCTCAGGGTCACAACACACATGCTCCTGCACTGGTTCT